CTTATATTTTTCTGCCAGAATCAGCTCAGTCGGCATACACTCTCAAAGACGGGCGAGTTTTTGTCGATTTGTAGAGACTATAGAGGTTGCACCATTCGCATTGGGACGCACAAGCTGCACGCATGCGTTTACCGTAGCCAGCTTTACGCAATGACACACATATTCAGACAGCTCCTCCAATTATCCCTTCCATGCCATTTTGCCGCAACATTCTATTCCAACACCAATTTTACTACTTTTTCAGAAGCCTATATTCCTCTGGATACTCAGATTTTAGCGATTTTTTCTCCGTCACTTTTGCACTTCTGAAGTGTCACTTCCATTATTTGTCCTAAACCAGATACCCCAAAATTATCGTGAACTGAACTTCAGTAGTACAATATAGGATGTTTTCTGGTTACCCACATTCCGATATTTTCACGCGGGTCTATATGCATGGGTTTTGATTTCTTAAACGGCAAAAAATCTTCCCAGAACTGCACAGAATCTTGTGAAAAGTCAGAGACCAGGCTGGCTCGTGTGCGATTGCTTGCCCTGCCGTTCCTTCAGGTTACGCATTGCTCATGTGTAGTGACGCTGAGTACTTTAAACTTCTGGAAGTGCCATTTTCTAAGTTTGCTTACTGATCTACAGCTCACATGGAGATGAGAAATTTCAAGTCACAATTATCAAGCAGCCAAGGCTTTGATGGTATTTTAACGACTAACGTATCTCTGTCCAAGGAACTACAGGGACAAGCCGTACATCGAACGAAATCCAATCGTGTGCCGGATTGTTGTGACTTTGCTTAGCTCTGGTCAAGAAGGTATGCATCGGCAATGCGCAGTTCCGTGATGGGATTTCCAGTGCTCACCGTACCTGAGGGTAGGTCAAGTCTGTGGCGTCCGAAATGCTCGGGGGTTTGCTAACTTAGTCCTGACGCGGGAACAGCTTTGGGCTCTCCAACCCTCTGGACCAAGATGCTGGCTGGCTACGAGGACAGAAGGTGACATGAAGCCGGGATGATTAACTAAACGGGTAATATCCGTTGCTGGAGCTGAGGCGAGGGTTAATGGAGCTATAAGTATTTATTGGAAGGAGGCAGGGATAGTCGAGTGGATAAGAGTGTAGGCTCACGTCTGCACTCAGAGGGAGTGCGAGTTCGATCCTGACCGAGGCAACTCCATGCCATGTGTGCTGATGGAGAAACCAGTCACAATAAATATGTCTGAAAAAGCTGATTCGGAAGTGGCGAACAGGGCCCCCATCCGAGTTTTGTGGACAGTCTGCGAGGGCTACTGAGGAGTGAACGACCTCGGCCAAAGAAGTGGGTACGAATAGAGACTCTAAATGTGGGATCGCTTACTGGGAGGTTTCGGAGGTTGCTGATCTTATGAAGCGCAAAAACATCCAAGTCCTATGTCTTCAAGAAAAGAACGAAGGGAGCAAAGGCCCGAGAAATTGGAGAGGGTTCAAACTCTTTTACAACGGAGAAGACACCAAACGAAATGGTGTGGCCGTAGCAGTTGCAGGTTCTCTGAAAGGCTCCGTCTCCACCGTCAGCAGGATCAGTAGCAGAATCATGGCTGTAAGGATAGACACGAAGGAGGGGTATTGGACAATAATATCAGTGTATGCACCACAAGCCGGTTGCCCCGTCTACGTAAAGGATGAGTTCTATCTGAACCTTGACGAGGCTATCCGATCAGTTCCGAATAGGACAACCTCACCATAGCAGGTGATCTGAATGGGCGTCGGCAGTGAAAGGAGGGGACTGGATCCAGATTATGACGAAAAATGAAGGTAAGGTGGAAAATAGTGCGATGAAGGCGAAGAGTCTGCGTTTATCGGCGTTTTCAAAATGAAAAGGCTTAGAAAAAAGTGAAAAAGGCTCGAAAAGGGAGCTGGACGAGAGTAAGGCCAGAAAAATGGAGAAGAATGGGGCGTTTGGACGACCTATACAATGTGTGTCAGTGCGTACTTGTGGGTCCTGGTGCGAATCACTGACTACGGTGAGCAAAAATTCATTCACTCTCAAGCATAGGTTATCAAAAAATCCTAGTAATAGCAAGAATAGCCCACTTTTCTCAGCTTCTTGGTTAGAAAATTAAATTGGGGATTAAAACAGCAAAAAGAATAACAGAGAAAGAAAGAATAGGAGAAAACATCGCCTAATCACTTGGCGATCAGCTGATAGTGTGTGGGTTCTGAAGCGAGTACTCGCAATCTGTATCGCCTCGTCCCCCGTCTGACGTGACATCGATTGAGGGGCAGAAAGGCCGCTCGAGCCGGGAACAGGGGTTCCACGGGGAATGTGCGTTGTGCGTCACCCCGCCCACTCCTCGCGCGACGCACCCAACTGAGGTCTCGGGATGACATTACAGTACCACCAAGTGTCAGTGGAGCGAACGATTTGCTTTTCCCCATGTAATCTTCGCTTGGCTGGCTGCCGTGGATCAAGCGCGAATCGTATGCCCCACCGACAACTGCGACATCCGTCAGGTATCGCGTGCTGACCAGCCGCAGGCCACGGCTGCGACGTTACCTAGTTTCGACGGACGCGCGCAACGAAGCTCACCCGGGCTTCTACCATGCCCTCACCGCCGAGTTTTTGGGAGCGAGAGGGCCCTTTCTATTACTCTTGGGGGTCACTGAGTATTCCTAGGGGGAAAACTCGGTAACCATTTTTATCGATTTCTATCGTGAACCGTGCCTTGAAGTAGAATTTGGTGTACTAATCTCAGGATTGCATCTACCACTAGAAACGGCACATACGGCCCTCTTGATCGGGTTCTGAACCAGAGCAGTGCTAAAGGCAAGATGCAACAACGGCCGCGAGATTGCACCCTTGCCGTTCACGTAGCATTTCTCTCGCGTCTCCCCGATAATTAAGTACTGCTCTCTGGTTGTGATAGCAACTCGCAAGCTATAGAAGTAATTCTCTGTTGCGTAAGTGGTCGCGTATCTTGCAGGGTCTTATTGTTTTTTTTACAAGACTTGAATTTTGAGTGAGTAGTTACGGATATTGCCGCGAAACCACTGTGAGAATTCTGGAACAAAGTCCACAACCCCGTGTGGGGAACGGTGGGGGGGAGGGGGGTGCTACGTATACCGTTCCTCTAAAAATCAGCGATTTCGAGTAAAGAAGCCGTCGACAATTGCTTAAAAGCCGTCGTCTTCATTTGAAAGTTGAAGTTCTCAATCAGTGATCAAATCAGCAATTGGAACTACTTTTGGTCGCGTTGTGAGAGGTCAGAAATGCTAATCTATGTGCAGTGATATGTAAATGTTAATGCCTGCTGTATACGTCTGCGCACTTCTGAGCCATTGACTATCGGAATGGCGTTTTCAGCTCACCGCATCACTGCATGCATGAATATGAGAGTTGCTGGAAGTTGCTTTGTGAAAACTTGTTCTTATAAAAAGTCACATGGTTCCGCGACTAGTGAACAACTTTGGTGGATTTTTGAGAGAACTCTCTCCCCCACTCTTGTGACTTGGGGCGCAACCCAGGTGCTCGCCAACGGGCCGTAATTTAAACGGCGCTAACGGCGGGAAAACAGAACGACGACAACGACGACGACGACGATGGCCATCGGACAGTTACATATGGCCGGTCGAAACAGCCTGAAATTGGCCCAGCCTAGGCCAAAAGACAATAACGCCTAGGCAATACTATGGCCTAGAAAGGTTAATTTATCACTTTCGATATAGCTCACCAAAAAAGGAAAAGAAGTATAGTGGAGTCTCCACTCAACAAAATTTGCCATTTGCTCAAGCTCAACGACGTGTCTGGAATTCATCTTAGCTTCAGGTAACGGGAACCCGCTCTCATTAGGAATGCCCCTGTCTTGTCATTAGCGAATGGTTTATTGTGCAGCTGAGACAGTGGTCAGGAGAGTTTGAGGTTGCATCATGTTCTGTCGTACCCTCCCTACTCGATGATCCCACGACGAGGCCACCTGTCAACCAAGATACGGATGTTACACAGGGCCACTATAAGACGAGCGGGCTACCGACACTGGGCCTCTCAATCGCCATGCCCTGTGTGCAGCGCCCGTCTCATCGGCGGTGGTCGACTTGTCCTGGCATCCCCTCGATCCCTTCCTATAATGTAACCTAATATATTTAATAAAATATGTATGTACACCACCGTGTCTGTTACCCCTCATTTGAACTCACGTCCCGCTATCAGTTGTAGGCCTTGCGAACCTATAATCTGTTAGGTCCGCACTTTCCGACATATGATGAAATTATGATTGTCGTAGATAAGCAGTCTGCATAAAGGCGTAGGAGACGTTCTCAGCAAACATTCTCTAGATAACATCGTTTACTGGTAGTACAATACATGTGTGCTTCCGTACCCAATTATCGCATAAAAGCATCCATGTTCTCTCGCCTAGTTTTCGCTCGATAGAGTCAGCCATAATTTGTTTACAGCATTCGTGGTTATGATGATATACAGACCTCAAAGCAATAGTTCAGCTTACACAAGGAATGTTAGGGACTTCAGTGCTTAGTGATTACCATCCAAGTTTTCACGTTTGGCTGCTGGTAAGTACTAGGAATCACTATATGAACAGCCATAGCTTCCCCCTCAACTCTTGCGCTGGGCAGCTACAGAAAGTTTTTTCGTTCCCTCGAAAACATTGGCAAGCAAGGGAGATTCACAGCCTCCGCTTTTTCCTATTTGACGGCATTTCTCCACACGAATCATTATTCATTCCAGCCTTGGCTTTCATATCCACATCATTTTAACTCTCGTTAGCAGATTGCTGTGAAGTTATTTTCACGATATCCATCGTTCAGCCAGACTAATTGAATTCGCATGACTTACACATATCACTCATTAGATTTTCGCACAATACTTCGCTTTAGTTATGTGCAACATTAAAGTGAGCATCGCTTTGGCCATTTTGGGTATAAGTGCTGGAATCATGGCAGGACTTTGCTTTGCCATACAGTATCACGTGAGTCGGCCTTTCCTAGTGATACAAATCGAATATCGTTGCGAGTTTCAAGAAAATTCACAATAAAATCAGATGCGTAACCTTTTCAGAACTGGTCCGCCACCACTATGGCGTTTACCTCTGCTGTGGCAGCATCGATTCTCTTGTACGTTCATGTAGCCTATAAGAAGGGGTGGATGCTCGAATGGCCTCACGCTCGTTTCGACTGTTTCACCTGCGTCGGTGAGCACCGAATTTCAGAACAGGTTAATCACCTCAGTGGCTGGGGAGTGGGACAGGTAACTGAGGAATGAGGCACTACTTGTTGCAACCAATTAATGAAAGAGAGTGAGGTCATAGCTGAAAGCATCACGACCATTCGACTGGATTTTCCATTGAATTATCCATAAATTTATCGGAATAAACAAAAGCTTATTCACGTTAATCTCATCAAGAGCTTAGTAGTGGTGCTGCGCATGGCGTTAGTGACGAAACGTTGATGCTGGTATTGTTTTTTCTGGAGTATGTCATTATGTGTAAAGGAAATCGAACTCGATGGCCAGGTTGGCATATTTTGCCGGCTTACATAAGTGTTACAGTGTACACACAGTAGTTCGTGTGATTCAAACAGTTGAGCTGAATTCAATGCATAGGAGCAGATTGTCGTTGCAGAAATGTTAGCTATTGCTTCTAATTGATTAAAACTCATCGAACCGTGATCAGTGATAATACATACAAAAACTAATTGTTTAAAGAATAACAGCATTAACAGATGCGACATGTTTGATCAAATTAGAGGGTGTAATGTGAAACAAAACCTGTGTGCTTGGCGACCCTCCTTCATAATTTCCGAGTGTGATTTTATTGACAATCTTTGCTTTTGCCCTTTGGAATCTGATAAAGAGAGCCATGCATGAAAATACATAACGTTATTGCTGGAGTAAATGACAGGTGAAATTAGACCACAGGGCACTTTTCGACAAGCGATCGAAAACTTAAGCTTTTTAACTCGTTAATTTCAATCGCCATCAGTTCAAAAATTTTATTGCAAAGTAAAATCTTCAGGAATACTCAAAGTTGGCACGAAACTAACACAGCTACTTAATGCTTCACGTCTTGTCGTCCGAAGTGGTCGAATCAGCCATGCACTCTCACCTTAGCGTAAATTTGTTCCACTCCGATTTTTCAGTTATAATCAACTGCTCCACTGATCTTGGCAAGTCACTGCATAGACGCATACATACTTACTTGTGACCGTAAATATGAAGAAAAGTTGAAGGAGTGGAGGTTTTCAAAAAATTGGCAAAGGTCCAACGCCATACAGCGAAGTTATATCTTCGTTATAGGCCGTGTAGGTCTACGCGAACAGTTCCAAATGTCTAATTTTCTTGAGATGGCCTTCCCTTCTGACGCCAATTCTATTACAGGGTGGGTCTTCTTTGTTATTGGCATCGTTGGTATGGTGGCATGTTTTTTGAGTGCAGGAATAAAACACCAAACTTTGACCGAAGAAGGTGAGGATTCCAATAAGTATTAAAAATTATTAGATAGTAAACGGTACCCTATGAGCAGAATTGAAGCAGTGATTGGAGAAAGTGTGTCCAACAAAAATTCAACGCTGAATTCTAACGAAGTGGGAGTATTTGCCAATACTGCCAACATATCTCGGTCTGATGCTTCTAGAATGCATTTGAACGAGACTGTAAACGACTTGCTAATGATAGTCAGTCATGGGCGCCTCACATTACTAGACAGCACGATCACATGGTTTATAGAAAGTAGTTGTCCAACCTCCACTTGCAATCGAATAAAAGAAGGTTACAAACTTCGCTGTCTCAGTCTTCAGTCCTCAGTCCTCAAAATGCGTCACGTGCTCTACCTTTATCGAGCATTGCAGGCGTAGTCTCGGCCTGCACAATGAGCTGCGCTGATCAAAGCTGGATTTGATTACACTAAAAGAATGGCTGATTCTATTTATGCAGTCATATGCTCTTCATTTAGGATTGAAAGGAGAGAATTTCTGGATGACGTCTATTTGGTTCTTCATGATGGCCAAATGGGCATCTCTGGTTGCCGTGTTCTCTCGACGATACACATATGCCATGGGTATTCTGCTCTCAAAACACCCCACCTCATTCTAAATAAGAAAATGCAATGAGCTTTTCATTACACCCTGCATATGAAACCCGATGCAGTCACATTTACTTCTATTTATGTTACTTATTTCTCATATGACCGTTTGAGGTGTCCTTTAGGCACATGTAGATTACCGATCGATCTCTTCAATTGTGCAAGTCATGGTTGTCAACGAATATGTTCAATGAGTCTGCAAATGATGTTCCTATTGTAAAATAAATCCAAAGAATTCGCAAAAGGAGACGGCACTTCAACATCCCTATTCTGAGCTGCTTTGATTACTTCACGGTTAGCGTACGGGGCGCGTGGGCGCATCTCATCGTGGTACCGAGATGAAGCTACAATGCCTTTGCAAGGTTTTTTGGTTTGTATTGCTTTACTCGTCGGATATTTAGGGGTCCGGGAACTTCTCCCTTGTCACGGCGTCGCACACGCCGCACCCGCCGCGTATCGCAGGATTGCGATGGAAGATTGGAGCGCGCAATTTCTAAGGTAGGGAGTCCTTTAATTATTTGAATTGGCTGACCGCTTTCTTCAATTTTAATGCAGTCTTGATCGCCGCTTACATAGAAGGAGTTATTTCAACTAATCAAGTCTAATAAACATGAAAACGAAAAAGAAACAGAAGAAAAACGATCAAATCCAAAAAAAAGCAAGGCAATCAACGAAAAATATCGCGTCCTATCGATTGGCGGGAGGCAGGGTGGGTACGGTAATTGCAGTGACATTTGCCGCATGCCGCAAGGGAGAATGCCGCGATAGGGGAGAAGCTCCGTTACCCGTTATTTAGATGCAACCTAGTGCGCCTTTGGGAAATGAATAAATACGTTAGAAAATATTGTAGTATATGTATACACATAAGTGTTGACAAATAAGTGTAATGCCCAAAGAGTGAAGGTACATCAGTGCCAAGCTGGTTGGGGGGGGGGGGGGGG